ATTCAAGGCGACCCTTACCAGAGCTTTCCTAAACGCTTACTAATTGTTCTCAGTAACTACCGGAACTATTTACAAGATAGATCACCCTTTAATGTTAATTACACTGTTTTTGTACACTCGTAAATTTAAGTTCTCGTGACATTTAATAACGTATTTTTTTTTATTATACATGTTACTTAATATCCATACTAATACAGTAGAAACTCGATAACTCAAGCCTCGGTAACTTAAAAACCTCTATAACTTAAAAAAATAATATGTTCCCTTCCTATCAGAGCCCAAAACCTCTATATCATATACTCTTGGTAATTTAAAACCTCTACAACTTAAAATATTTTGTGTTTCCCTTGGACTTTAACTTATCGAGGTGCTACTGTGTTATGAAGAGGAAAGATTTGTATCTGTTCGTGACAAAACTACTGGCTTAATTTCAAAATTCTCTTGCCATTAGATAACTAGGAGTATAACATCATCGAGTAACATAATAGATACAAACATAATGCTACCTATATTTTACTACTAGCTGTTGCTCGCGACTTTATCCCCGTAAAATTAAAATTAAGATACAGCCTATGTTACTCACTGATAACGTAGCTTTTTATTGGTATATGAATTTTCGAAATCCGCCCAGTAGTATTTGAGTTATTTCAATACATACAAAAATACAAATCTCTCCTTTTTTAATATTAGTATAGTTTAGAATATTTTTAATAATTCCGCTTGCACTCTAAATTACCACAAAACAAATAATATCGATAGATTTCTAAAAAAAAACTTGACAAAACGATTAACGTGAAGACCAATAATTGTCGAAAATCGTTCTTTACTCCTAATTCTTTGCGGTAAATCAACTCGGCTGGAGGAAAACCGAAGGGGATGAATTTAAATAAGAAAGTTATATTTGAAATTCCTGCCGAGATTTCGTACGTGAGGGGAAGTTAAGTAACAAATCGAAATTTTTATATTGCTTCATAAAGTTGTTGGAGGTTCTATTTTAATTTTTACTTCATTATGACATTTTCATAGTTCTTTAAGATGAAAAGAAGTGTGTAAATGCACTTAACAGTTACAGTTATCAATTTATCAGGTAGATAAAATGTTAGAATAACCGTGGGTTCGTGTCATAGAAATAATAATTTGTTATAAATTCTCGTATTTGTTCGTTAACCATTTACCGTCCCGAATACGTGATGTGAATTGAAAATGAATTTTGTTTATATCACACAGAATACATCTAAATATAATTTAATTAATACGGAGATAAATTTAAATTTGCATATTATCATATTTGTTTGTTAAACTAACTGATTAGATAATTCAATTATACCAGATGAACTTATATTTTCAAAGTCTAATTTTGGACTATGTCGCTAGTCGGGAAGTGGATAAACTAACGTAGATGCCACGGCCCGGTTGGGCGAAGGAGAACACCGCATGGCTTACGGCCGGTCTCAATAACGCATCCTGGATCGGGAGATCGCTTCAATCGAGAAATAAAACGATCTGTTGGTTGATCACTAACCGGTGTCTCAATAACACCGGATAGCAAACATCCACCGATTTTCAAAATGGATCAGCGGGATCGATGTACTTTGTGAAGTTCCCTCCTGGCGTTCCATTTCAAGCAGATGTCATTATGACTGTGTTGCAAACCTATTGATGAATTTTAGAAAATATGCACGTTTTTGGGTTCTGACGTACTAACTAATTATTTATTTGTTGCGTATTTTACGAATAAAACGTGTTTCAACATTTTCCAAGCAAATTGTCATCAACTAATACTACCTTTTCGGAGTTTTGGTAGCGGTGCGAGAACGTAATCAGAGGAATAAATTTTCTGTCAATGTGATTTGACATCAGTTGTCAATGTTATTTACATCAGCTATTAATTTGAAATTCATATAGCTTCTATTCGTGTTTTTGATAAACAACTAAATATTCACCATCGAAATTGTAAGTGCAATGGTATGTATACTTTTATTGAGTTCTAACATGTTTTTACAGTTATACTTTTATTCAATAAACTTCCCCCGTGAAGACGGTTCAATTCGCGCCTAATTTGTATAGACCCTTTACATAGTAATTTCTTATTATTTCCAGACCTCAAGCAAGCCTCTTACGAAAGAGGACACGAAAACACTGCTTTCGTTCATTGAAA